CCCCCCCAAAAAAAACCAACCCCAAAAAACCCACAGCTGTAGCCGACCTTTGAGAGAATGCTTGAAGCCCGAGGAAGAGTGGACCATCACAAACTTGGACTTGTTGTCGATGAGCGTCTTGTCGTCCATCTTCTGCGCCTGGGCAAACAGGTAATCCGCAAAGTGGTCCTGGAAGATAGAAAATAAAATATCAGTGATAAAGTCAGGGCTCCTTCCATCCTCCTAAAAAAGAAAAAAAAACGTAAAAGGAAGAGGGAGGGTATGTGACTCAAAAACAATCTGACCCAAATTTTACACATGTAATTGTTTTGTGATCGTAGGCTGTTTTTCTCTACTTACAAATTCTACTTCATTCGTGATAATCTGATCCAAATATTCGTACAACATAATCCAGTTACAACCTTGCTTTAACTTTCTCTTCTTATGAATTTGAAGTAAGGGGTATTTTAAAAAATAAAGAGGGAGTGAAAGTAAAAGGTGAGGTCATCGGAGCGGATGGGAGGATTACATGAGACTCAAGAAAACTTTACAACAACATTCACAAGTTAAAAATGTGTTGCTATATAAGCCAGAGCAGACTCACCTTGACAAAACCTGGACTTGCTACCAGCACACACTTGACGACTGAGGAACAACACAACAGTAGCCATTACTATGGAGTCGGTTGAACAGTTGCATTTTTAACAAGTTATGATAACAGGTTAGAGTATTTGAGACATATAAACCAGTCCTGAGAAAACATAAAATACGACATAGCTTACATTTTATAGCACAGCATCAACCACAACTATATACCTTTCCCTTGCCACTGGTGAATAATTCATGCCTTGCCACCCCCCCCCCCCCCCCCCCACAGAGGAGAAAAGGAAAATTAGGTGTACTGACTTCCCAGCGCTAGTTTTCCCCCCAAAGTTAAGATGCAGAATGTAGATGTGAAAGTTGCCATGGGAATGTGGCCCATTGCTGCTTCGCTTCTATAATGTAGAGAATACCAAAGAAAAGCCCAGTGCAAGTGTTCATCACAAATTTTATAAATCTGCACTCTTCTGTTTTAGAAAGAGTCTTACGGCACTTGCAACACAATAAGGTCATATAAAAGATAAAAGATAAAAGATTTGAGGTGTTACAAAAGAGTATGAAACACAAAAAGGAAGGAGAGACAACCGAAGAAGATAGATGTTTGATAGGAAAGAAGGAGCAAACTCCACCAGAGCACCCACCAACCCTCCACAATCTGAACTCTAGAGATCACCAATATAACAGGAAGAACACAACACAAGGTGTTTTTTGTGGGTTTTTTTCGTAAGAGTTTTACGGCACTTGCAACACAATAATGTCATTAAAGTGCCGAAGATTAGATGTGTTACAAGGGAGTAACAAACACAAAAAAGAAGGAGGGGAGATAAGGACAATAGATGTTTGATAGGAAAGAAGAAGCAGCAAACCACACCAGAGCACCCACCAACCACACACAAACACAAGCTTAAATAAAGATTCTGGGGTAAAAAAACAAAAACAACCCCCCCCCCCCCCACAACATAGAGTTTATCACAGAAAAACTTCCCACTCACTGTCAAAGTTGCAGTGTCGCTGAAAGGCTTGGATGATCTGATCAAAAAATCTGTGAAGCCCCTGGAAATATTCAATAACGAAAGTGCGATCAATGGTAACTTTCACAACAAAAAATGATAGCTTTCGTAATTAAAAAAAAAAGAGTTATATGTGGAATAAGAAAAACACACCAAAACATTTCAAACTCCCTAAAAATAAATGGCTATCCTGGAACACTACAGACCATGTTAATGACAGAAGGGAGCTCATCCTATAAAACTAACAACGCTGTACAGGACGTGATGGTGTCGGCAAAGTACCATGGTCGCCCCTGCAGGTTTACTATGGGGGAGCAAAGAATACACCTGCTTTAGTTTTAGTAGTTTTAGTAGAGGTTTTACGGCGCTCGCAACTGCATAAGGTCATATGAGCGTCAGAAGATTAGAGGTGTTACAAGAGAGTAAAAAAAAAAAAAAAAAAAAGAAGGGGAGATAAGGACGATAGATGTTTGATAGGAAAGAAGGAGCAAACCACACCACAGTAACCGGCAAGAGGCGACTAAAGGTGCATAGGTCTGGTCGCCCGAACAGTGCCAGTTTGCGGAGGGCCAACTACCCGACCCAGTAAAAACGGAAAGTTATACTAGAAACACGAACAAATAGGCCTTATTATTTTTGCTTGTTCGTGGCCTATATCCTGATCTAGGGCCAACTACCCAGCAGGGGGCTCTCGTGGCCTAGAGGTTAAGGTGTTGGCCTCTCATTCAAAAGGTCCCGGGTTCGAATCCGGGTAGCGACCGAAAAATTTTCTTTTCTAAGATTGTCTCCTTTCACCTCCTTTCCTGCTCTCTAGCAATGTTCTGTTGTCTGCTTTCAGTTCCACTTTCTGCCCCCACCCCCGCACCTCCTTTGCCACCTCCTCTGGGCTCCTGACTCTTTCTGCAGCCTTTCTACTGCTACTCCTTGGCTCCTCCTTACTGCTGTCTTTCTGCCACACCCCTGATCTTCTGGTGGGAAAGATCTACACCTAGCCTTCTCGGACAAGGGCGAAAAATCTCGGAGGGCCCGTGTGCAAATTGCGCATGTTAAAGATCCCTTTGTGGTCTAAAATCGATAAGAGTAGGCCTCGGCCGCCACCAGGGCAAAATTCAAAATTTTCTACCAACTGAAAATATTAGGTGTGTCCCGCGCGCTCATATGACCTTATGCAGTTGCGAGCGCCGTAAAACACTTTACAAAAACAAAAACAAACAAACTATCCAACCCAGTAAAAATGGAAAGTTATAGAAACACGAACAAACACACAGGGATGTAAACAGGTTTTGAAAAAAAAAAGTCTGAAAATATACGGCGCGCGCGCATTGACTGAAATAAGAATACAGTGAGACTAAATTATATTTGTTTCTTTCCCTCCATTACAACAAATAATCTCTATTTAGTATATATATAATATGTATTTTTTTATAGAGTAGGACTTCTGTTAAAAGCTGGGGCCCAAACGGCAAATCGGCCGGAAAAAACGGAAAAAGCCGGAATATTTTTACATCCCTGTTATTATTTTCGTTTGTTCATGGCCTATATCCTGATCTAGGGTGAGAAAGGCAATGATGAAAGTACCTTG